CTTGAGTCTTAACCCCACCTCCAGATGCTTCTCGGCTTGCGAAGTTGTTGCGCCTGCCCCTTTGTTTTTGGTGCATGGTCTTTTTCAAGCTCAGAGGATCCGTTCGGCCTTCGAATGGTCGATTTGCGAACGTGTCAGAATATGGGGGGTGGGTGGCATAGACTTTGAAGGATACTCGCCCATTTCGTATGGCTGGTTGGTGCGTTTGTCCGACTGTCGGCAGGTTGGCGGTGCTAGCGAGGTGGAGGTGAATGAGACCAAGGAGTGGATGGGGCCAGAACCGAAGCTTGTGGGAGGTGTTTCCCTCCTAAGAATCCTGGGACCCCCGTTTATCTTTTTTCTTTTTTTTTTCTTTTTGTTTTTTGGGGAAACCGACAGGAACCAACCATTTTGGGAGGTGTTGCCGTGGGTTTGTCTTGTTTTGAGGGGCGCCATCTTGGAGTTGGTTTAGAGGGAACCAGAGAGAACCCAAGCTTTTGGGGGCTTCCCATTTTGAGGTCTCCGAATGTTGGCCCCGCATTGGGCAGAATTCTTGGCTGGGCACTTTTGCTGACTCAGGACATGTTAGGATCCCCCTTTTCGGGAGGGACACCAGCAGGAACTGTTGCCATTTTCGGGGGCATTTTGAGAGACAGGATTCGGACCCAGATGGTGTTTCCAGTGCCAAGGTGAAGCCTTTAGAGGAAAGTCGTGGGTACACTTCCGTACTCAATTCTGGATGTGGTTAGGGAAACCGAAGCCAAAAGTCACTTGGTGTTCCGTGATTTTTCAAAGGCTCTTTACATTTGACTAGACACCTTTGCGGGTTTGGGTTGTGACTCAGGTGAGTGTGGACAATCTCAACAGCAGCTGCAGTTTCTGAAGTCAGAGCTTTCTAAAGTTTGGTAGTTTGACGGAAGTCAACAGGACACTCACCGCAGTAGAAGTGGTCGTTGCTTGTCTCGCTGTCGCAGGCAGTCTTGTTAGAAGCTGCAAGCTTCTGTATTTGCCGCGACCGGTCCATTTTCGTATGGGTGTCATCTGTCTTTCCATGTTGTCTTTCCTTTGCTGAGCCATTGCCTCCCTAGACTGAGGCGCTTCCTTGTCCTGGCTGGTTCCTTTGTTTTGCTCGCGCGCCTTGGGGCAATCCTGTGCCATCCGACCACATTTGATGTTTCAACACCAAATGGCACGGTCTTGTTCCTTTCCCCCCTGTCGGGCTTGCCCCGAGCGGCCCAAAGTGATAGCAAGGTTTCAGGCCTTTTCAGACCTGGGGGAGGTCCAAAAAAATGTTTGGTTGTCCTAAGGCTGGTTTCACACGCCCTTGCAACATTGAAAACCAACAGGGAACCACTTTGGTCTCCGTTAAAAGAATGCAATCATTTGCCACACAAGAAGGATTTCTGTTGCAATCCCATTATATCTGCCAACTAAGATGAAAGCAGTGGATCCTGTCAAGTCATTCATCACAGGGCGAAAGACCTGTGTTTTGACCATTGTGTGGGCAATGGCATTGGATCCGTAAAGGGTGGTTTCCCTTGTATCCACTGTTTAGGGGGTATTTTGGAGGATGTCGCACGAACGGCGCCCTTTCTGGGCAAGTGACATGTGTTGATTTTGCAGTGTGTTGCTAGCTTTCGCCTGTGGTTTCACCTGAAGACGGAGCGGCTTTTGCTTCCTTTGGGAAACGCGTATTCTGTTGTGGCTCAAGAAGAGGCAACATAGCAAACAGTATCCTCCTACAATCACACATGTTGGTTTCCAAGTACCCCGCAACTCTAATCATTTGGCCCTTATATTGGCCACTTACACCGTCGTAGTTTACAGGGCAGTCCCAGTTGCCCGCCTGCAATAGGGGACTCAACGGTCATGGTAGGCGCCTTTCCCGAGCGGTTCTAAGTGTTCAGTGGGTCTACATTGGCAGAACTACAAAATTCCTTAGACTAATTGGCCACGGACTGATTTGTGAATGCTTGAATGACATAAACTGCATACCCCCCCCCGCATACCCCCCCCCCCTCCAGTATGAAGGTCTATAACCCACTTTATGATTTTCTAGGGTGTCTTTTTGAGGCTTGGTTCCCTTTGTGGGTCGAAGGGAGCCACCCACTTTCGGGCTCCCATTTGGCGACATGCAACGTGAGGGTCTGACTTGCCTTGAGTGTCAGGAGCTTAATATCCAGCTCCTTGAATGCTACTGGCTTGGATCTTTTACCCTTAACGTTATCACATTTTGAAACTGATCCAGGTGCTCTCCAGGTGCCTTCCCTGTTTGTTTGTCGGAGCAAGGGCACCCAAACACCTAGGGGGTCCCTTTGAGGCAATTTTCAGGTGCCTTCTGTGAGGACTCTACCACCTTGACCAGTTTCAAAGCTTTCTCCCTTGGTTCCCTGTAAATCCCCGGAAAAAAAAGCAGTTCCTGTAAAGCCCGGACATGTTTGCTAGTTTCAACTGTTTGTTTGTTGGTTTCCCCTGTAAATCCACCTGAGCCACAATCAAAACCCGGGTAGATGAAGGCTTAGTAGGGGACAATCCCAACCACAAATAGCTGCCGCCGCCTTCTTAATTCCTGAAGCACGGTTCTGGGAGTCCGACCATGTTCATTTTCCGGGTTTTGAGCAAGTGATTCACCTGAAGCATGGACTCACCAAAACCAACCGGACGCCCACCCAAGGAACCCACCCAGAACCCACCCAGAACCCGCCCGCCGACCCGCCGGACGTTTGGACCCGTCGGCGGCGTAGGACCGTCTGAACGACGCGCTGAACGCCACCAAGGCCGCGCTTGAGGAGGGCATCGTGCCCGGCGGAGGCGGGGGGGGGGGGGGAAGTGGGTGGGGTGGGGTGGGGCTGGGCTTCCTGTGCTCAAAAAATTCGCCATGCGGCCGACAACACCAGGAATCTTGGGAGTTTAAGAGGGCTCCTTAGAAGATCTCCATTTGGCAACCATGTGAAACATGGCCTTTTTTTTCTCACCCAAATGAAGGGAAACTACCATTTACAAGGCAATGTTCAGGTGTATAATGCAAGGATCCCTGTTCCAGAATTTGGTGCCAGGATCGGCCGTGATGATTTTTCAAGGCTGGATATGCCTTCACATTTCGCCATGAAGGAACCTTGCGGACACTTATTTGAAGCGAAGGAACCTTGCGAAAATGTCCTGTTTGAAGCGACGCATCTTTCAACTTTCCATGCTTTCCACACCTAAGCCCTACTGCTGAGAAAGAAAACAAACAACGTGCATGCCATATTGCAGAGTCTCATGGCCTCCGGCCAGATTTTTCCAAGCGTGTTTGAATGCTTCCCCACCAGTCGTTCGTGCGAATCTGGTTATTGTGGTTCGAATCTCCCAAGGGTCAACTCGAATGGCAGGCACCGCCTTGCTCTATGCCACCACAAAACTGGAGGCGCGCGGCGGTGGTGTTGGTTGGATAGTTGTCAAAGCGGGTTCGATGGTACCTCTTGTTTGGTGGTTTTGAAGAAAAGCCAAAGGACACCGAAACCATTGCTGGGATGGTTCAGTTGGATGGTTCAGTTGGATGCTTCAGTTTGATAAACACCAGTTAGATGCTTAAGTTTGAGAACGTCACCTGCCCTGTGACTTACCACTTGAGTTTGTTGTCACTTTTTTTGCAGGGAGCTGGACTGCCCCAGGCGCGTGAGAACTTTTTGGCCGCCTGACGCTGAAACCAGCTCGAGTGACTAACCTTTGGAAGGGGCCCGAAATTGGAGAACCCATGTCCTTTTTGAAAGGGCTGTTCCCTGAGCTTCCATGTGAGGTTCCGTGAAATTTTGCAGTAGTCTCGGATCCGTTTGGGGCAGGAATTTTCATCGGGGACGCACTAAGTTTCCCGCAAAAAGTGGGGGACTCAGAATTTTACAACTCAAATATTGCTGAGCCCCGCGCCAGCACCTGCCCTTTCCGAGCCACGTTCACGCAAAAGAATGTGGGTTTTGCATTTCGAAAGCTATGCCTCTCTACCAAGTTCCGGTGGGGAGGCGTATGTTCGGCAGGAAACTTTGAGTTCCTGGCCGGCTCGTTTGGAGGAGAGTTGAGCTGAGCGAGCGAGGATTCTAAGGGTTTTTTCCACAGGCCCCGTGGCGTCATACAGTCAAGACTGGGGAAGGAACTTGCTTTTTTGTCGGTGGACCAAAGGGTCGAGCCCAGTTTTGTACATTTCCAATCACTTGTTCATGTTGGAAAGGGTTGGTTCGCACCAAACCATGCTTGGGAGACGCCTAAGTTTGCACCCCCAAGATTCCCAATCAACCTGCTAAAGCCTTCTCCCAGCAACCCCCCAAAGGAATCAGAGGAAGCCACCAACCGCGGATGGCCCAAATCGTTGCCGCCATCGCCGAAGGGAGTGAAGCTGGACAGCCTGGACCAGCAGGTTGGTGTGGACGCCATTAAGGCGTGGCTGAAGGGGGGGTGGGGGAGGGGGGAGGGGTGGGTGGGGTGAGCTTCCCTAACACTTGGGAAAGGTAAGCCTCTGGTGACTCTGGTGGAGAATGGGTGCAAACGCCAGGGGAGGCACGTTTGGGTGAGGGATTCGCCTGCAAGCCGCAGGTTGATTTGGTCAGAGGCCTTGCTGGAAGCCAAAGGCGCTTTGAAGGCATCTAGCCCCACGCCAGAGTCACCAGAGTGAAAGCACATGGCACAAATCCCTCTCCGTCGGGAAGCAAGGGGGATGAAACCAAGTTGCGGGAGTTGTACCTACTTTCACCCAGCTGGCGCATGCCCTGAGAGTCATTTGAAAAATGGTGAGGACACCCGTTTTCGGACCGATTTCGATTCCCGTTTTTAGAACCATGTGTCAAGCAAACACAACTCGGGATTTGGGTTCCCCCTATTCTTTTTGTCACATATGCATAAGAACCTTGTGAGGGATGCCGAGAGGACACGGTGCCGAGAACCCGATCTGGACCACCGCTTTGGTTAGGGGGCCAAAGGATTTGGTTTTCCTATCCATGAGGAAGCCGAACTCGGCCGACCCCGAGTTTGCGAGTGTCAGATTCGGGGAACAGGCCGCCCTGAAGCAGCCCTGCATCCAGATCGCCCAGACGCTCGCCTTTTTGTTTTTATTCTTTTTTTCTCCCGGTTCGAGCGGGGGTGTGTTTGTTTGAAGGACCCCCCCATTTTGGGTGGGTTTGTTTGAAATAGCCGCTTCATGGGCACCCTCAAAAGAGACACACCGAGATTTCTCGCTTCCCGGTGGTGTTTGAGGGGAGCTGGCTCTCGGTTTCTATGGGTCTTGAGACATTTTCTGGGTTGGTCTTTTGTTGGGAATCCAAAGAACAACCGCGATCCTCAGAATCCTCCGATTTTGACACATACCCAAGTCATTGTCGTGTGTTTCGACTGAACGTAACGATGTTGGACAGAGCTTTCCCAACCGTTGGAGAGGAAACACAGAAAGCCATGCAATGGTTAAAGAGTTAAAGATAATATTTGGCCCGACTCAGTTGCACTGTGAACCTAACCTTCTCAGCTCTACTAGAAACAGAAACACCCAACTAGAATCCAGCCCTAACGTGAGGGACAAAAGGCGACCTGCCATTTTGCCAGACAAGGGCTGGTCAACTTGAAGGATCAACTGCTTGTGTTCTTGACGGTTTTGGCCGGGGCCGTTTTGGGGTGGCGGGGATATGCGGGTTACTGGGCTGGAGGGGCATGGGGTGTGAGCAATCCGGGCGACATTGCGACGGCCCTTGTCGTCGTGGCATTTTCTCAAAATGAGACTCCCACATAGAAAGGAGCTGCGGGGGTAGTTTCAAGACAACTTTAGTCATGATTACTCCACTAAGCTATCAGAAATTATTTAGCCCCCCGTTTGTTTTTCCGACCTTGGACAAGCATGTTGCGTTTTGTCATGTACCCTTTTTGGCGGTTTGGATTGGTGGTTTGGAGGGTTGAACCCCAGCTCTTTTTTTGGCCACCAAATGAGGGAAGGCACCCCTTAACATGCAAACCACCGGGCTCCAAACCACCAAGGGCTGGGTTGAGGTTGGTGTATGGCCGCAACAAACAGGGTCTATTCTCTTCTTGACCTTGCCATCCAGCAGCTTTAAAGCCAAGGAATGCTGGTGAGGAGGGCGCAGTGGTCGTGCAGACATTGACCAAGGACCCTTTTCGTGTCTTCGCGCGTCAGGGTGGGGCAACATTGGTGTCAGGCGATCAGACCCCTGCCTTTCAAAGGAAAGCCGACACAGGGGCTGCTTCAACAAAGGTGATTTTACCATGCAAACCCCCGCCGGGAACTGCCAGTGGGTTTCGGTGTGAAAAAGGCCTTGCCTATTTGTTTTGCCCGCCAAGTCAACAAAGGATAAGGAAGGGAAGGCCTTGCCTATCCAGAAGGAGTAGGGATTTTCGATTAACATAGATTGGGATCCGGTTTGGAAGACTGAAACCAACTCTCTTTGTCAATTTCCTTTGAACCAGGGGCCCCGAATTTCAGGAAGCGCCCAATTCAGAGCTGAGGGCGGTCAGTTTGTCACAAAGGTGAGGAGGGAACCGACTGTCAAGGATGCTTGGCGCGTGATGCCCCCGACTTTGTCCCTTTGCAAAGTCAAGCTAACGAAACCAACACAGGTGTAAACAAGGGAGAGTCATGTTTAGAGGGCATTCTCATGGGTACGGATTTTGGAGCTCTGGAGGAGTTCTTTTTGTTTTTTTCCGCATGGCTCCAAACCCCATGCCGGACAATGCCCCATGTTTGACAGAGCGATTTTCTTTGACCAAGGAGAAGAACCTCTCCAAGGGCTTCAATGCACAGACAGGTCAGTACGTGGACATGATCGAGGCTGCTTGGCAAGCGCTGCCAGAGGTTGCCGTGCGGACTCCGTAGTGTCCAATCGCTGAAAAGGATATTCCTTTTGGGTGGTGTCTGTGGTTCCCGGCAAGTTGGGATGGAAGCCGGCTCACCACTGGCCTAGCACAAGTTGTATCTGTGGCTCCTTTTGTCAATTTCAATCGGAGAGAGCGTGGGGTCAACCATCGACCCGTTTTGGCGGGATTCGCTCCGCAGCTCTGGAAGCTCCGGATCACCTGGCGACGGGATTCGATGACTTTGCTGGAGTCCATTTCCATCTTGGTAATCTTGGGTTGGTGGAAACTAAAAGGAAACCGTCGCCAATGTTGTGTTCCTAGAACCCCCTTTTTCAAAAACACATGCCAATAGCCCAAGCCAGGGCTGGCTCGGCTGCAGAGTCCACTGGGATTCTCACCATGAACAGCGTACCACCCCCCCGTTGTGAGCCTAATGTTGGACACCAACCATTTTGAGTGTCCCTCAATTCTTAGAGACACCGTTTCTACAAGGTTTCCTTTTTTGGTTCAGTGTTAAGACGGGAGCCTCCGATTTGCGCAAACTCCCAAGGTTCCTCTTTTGTTTCCCCTTTATACAATTTAAACAACAGCTAGAAGAAGCAGCGGAAACGGGAAACACATCCGAAACAGAACAGAAGCCGCCCCAAAAGGCCACTCCAAATATATAACGTTATAAGATGCTCCAACATAAACCCT